TAAATGATTAGGTAATGTATTAAATGTTCTTGTTTGCCCTTGCATTAATAATGTTGTATTTGTTACATTTGGTTTAGTTAATTCAGTAATTGTTGATGTCAAATCATTTTTTATTGGTTTATTTGTCAATGGATCTCGTTCATATAATCTAAATATAATGCATTATTTATAAAAGAAAAAAGATTTTGTTTGCTACTCAAATAACCTTGGTCTTCCACGTTTCTTTTTCGACATACTTGAGCTAATTAGAACAAAAACGTATAAAAAATACGAAACAAAAAGAATAACCGTTCTTTTATTTTACCTGCTTGATCGGCGATGACGATGATTAACTTTTTCTGCTATTTGTGTTAACGATAATGAAAGATTACTATTTGATATTTTTGATTCATCTAGTGATGAATTATTATTATAAGATTGTAAATTATTATTTCCATTAATAATGGTTGTTGGTAGAATTGATGTTTGATGATTAATACCTGTTAATTGTTGTGTTGTTGTTGTTGTTGTACCATTTGTTAAAGTTGCTAAAATATAAATGTTTATAAATTTCTCTAAAAAGAATATTTTACTTTGTTGTTGCATATCAATCGAAGAACTTGTTCGAACTGTTGTAATTGTTTGTGATGAATTTGATACTAATGAAATGAAAAATTTTTATATAAAATATTAATCAGAAATTTATTTCAACATACCTAATGAACAATCTCCATTTGTTGGAAAGGAAGATATAACAGGTTGACTAGTAGTTGAAACAACATTAATTGGTGTTGCTTGAAGAACTTGTCCAACTTGATTTCGAAATGTAACTGGTTTTTGACCATCACTAGCAACTTGAACAAGCTGTAAGGAAAAGATTTCTTTTATTTTTATTTTTGAATGAGTTTTTTTTTTCAAAACTAACTTGTCCTTGACTGCCATCGACCACTAAATAAGTAGTAAATCCTGGTGATGAAGTTGTTTGAACTATTTGAATATTGAAATAAGATTTTTTACTGTTGGAGAATTCATTTAAATGACTTACTTGATGTTACTGTTTTTGGAATAATTGGTGCTAAAGAAGAAGCTAATGAAAGAGTTTAGAGGAGTTTTATTTTATTTACTTATTTGATTGTTATGTAAAATTGGTTTTGGTGTACATGGAATTATAGTTGCCGCCTTTATAGTCGATGGTCGAGCAAGTACTGTTGTTGGTTTAGTAGATGATCGATTGACTTTTTTACTATTAAGATAAGTTCGAAAACCCTTTGAAAAAAAAAAGATTTGATATTATTTTCTATAGAAATAATGAATAAAACATACTCGTTTTGTACGTTTTATTGTTGTTGATGGAGTACTTGTTAAAAATGGTTGAGCTGATGCTATTGGCACTGTAATCAATTGTGTTTTAGTGACTGGTGGTGGCGCTACTGATGATTCTGTTAGTGAAATAGTTGGTTTTTCATGATCAATTTCAGATTTTAGTAATGATGCATTCAAAGTTCCTGATAACAACGGAGGTACTTCTACCACCTGATACATTCTACCAAAATAAAATAAATATTGAAAATTAAGTAGACTTATTTCGCAATGTAACCAACTCGGGTTTTTTTTTTCTTTTTGCTTTTTTATTTATATGTTGGAAAAAAATGAACGAATAAAAATTTATATAACAAGAAAAAAAAAAGAAAATGTAATCATCATCATTATGATAACATGTCGAATGGAAAAATTATTTTATTTTTTTATTTTTTTCTATTGGTTATCAATATTGTTTTATGTGGATTACACCAATAAAAAAATTGAAAATTATCTACCAATCGTAGTCTTAACAAAATCCAACACGACCTCTATACGATAGGTGACTCTCGCACAAGTATATGGTTCATTAAACAATATGATTAGTGCAAACGAAACTTTCTAGAGGAAATAATAAGTCTTACATTAATAAGTGTATTTTTTTCATAAGAATTTAATAAATAATATCCGCATCAGAATTAAAGCACGGTGAATGTAAGCTCAATCACTCCACTATGAAAACAGCTAGAAATTTGAAGTTTTGGGGAATCGAAAGAGGAGAACTTCAGACGTCTTTTTGTATGATACTATATAAAACAAAATTATTTTAAAACTCCCTATATGCACAAAATATTAGAAAAAAACTGCATGAAAAAAGTCTTCCGTTTCAATATATGGACCAAACAGAATTGTATAGATATTTAGTAATATTCTATTGGCTTTTAGCAAACCTAATTTCATTGGAATGGAAAGTTCTCCTCCTGTGATTGTTGTAAGTCACAAGTCGGTAGCTGTGGTTGTTGTTCAGTTTTTGAGATTATACTGACTCCTCTTTATTTGTGGTGTAGACATTAAATAGTATCTCTTGATTTGTGGATGAATGCAAAGAAGAATAACACCAACACTGATATCCTGAAGATGGTGACACTGATATTGCATCATCAGTTGTAAGTTGTAATTATTTCATTTATATTCACAATAGCTATGCTATTACAAGTATTACATTTTTCTTGCAGTCGAGCTTTCGAGATTTTTAAAAATAATATGAAATTTGTTTTGGATATTTAAATAATAAATTAGAAGCTAGTTGTACAATTGTAAAAGAACATAAAACAGAGAACGCTGATAGACAGGTTCTTTCTATCGTGCATACTTTTTAAATTTGTATATACATCTTTCAGCAAAATGTTTCCTATGGACATTTAAAACAACATTTTTGTCTTAGCTTTTCCTGATATGACGAATGTCTATGTTTATATTTTCTTGTCGTCAGTCAAGTATGGAAAACAAATCAAGTTATTTTGACGATCTAAAAACCAAAGAATATTATCTGCATAATTTTTCTCTAATAAGAAATATTAATTAATACTTATGAAACTAACGAGCGGTAAATCTATGTACTCATTATACCATTGGGCGTATTGTTAACAAAATAAACACCAGAGATGGGACTAGTTAGTATGTTTTTGGAATCAAACCAATCTCATCTCCGACTAATACCGATCGATTTCAAATATGTAAGCTTTAACTCAATAGTACATCCAATTTTTAAGGATTTGAAATCAATTTTAGCTCGCAATTCTCTAATTTGAGTTTTCGATAACTCTCTTGTTATGAGCGGTTAACTTAGTACAATAGCCATAACTCTGGAAGGAAGGCCTATGGATTCTTGTCCTATTAGGCCTTTTATACTCTCACTGAGTATCATTTATACGGAAAAAATCAGCCCAAAAGCTTTGAATTACTTGGCGCGGTTTCCTCCTAAATGTAAATTGTACACTCTGTTATTTCTTTGCCGCTTTCCTTAATGAATGGAAATATGTAACAGATATTTATTTAATACGTGATGAAGTGATATTGATAATATATTAGAAAAGATGAACTTGAAGAAAAATTGAATCTATAGTGTAAAAGTGACCGTTTTAAGTTTAACAATTCAAAAGAAATTTGTCCGTCTTGAATAATTTGATAATCTTATGCAAATCATACAAACAACATGAGTGCAATAGACGCATTTTCTATTTCTATATCGGAATAGTAATATATATTGTTGCTCAAAATTGCTCTAGAAAATATCGAAAAATTTCTCAATCATCCCCCATAAAAGATGTTTCACAAATTTTGTGTCACAGACAAATGACTTTATATGTAAATAAAAAAAGCGAATCCCTCATTGAATGTTTTCTACATATGACTTGAGTATTTGTGTCCTAATGTCAGTTAAGATCTTTTTTAAATAATACTAATGTAAGCACGATAACGTGCTATATTCACTTTTTCGCAACTGATCAACAAGAAATCTAGTCAACGGTTTAAAATGAATAAAATTATTTTTTATAGAAATGCTTATACTTGTTGTTCACTTTTAACCTGTTGCCTAATTAAGTGGTCAGTAGTATATAAACAATCAAGATAATCGCGTATGGATTTCTACTATATCTTATGTAAAATCTATTTATTGTTTAACTAGAAACTCTGAAAATATTAGCCAATATGAGACAATTTGAAATGTTAATAATGGCACTCAAAGGTCATATAGATGCATTTACTAAGGAATTATTTTTTGTCTACATATAAATTGATATTACGGAGACTCACTACTTATGAAGCACCATTGCTGAAATTGCATCCACTTGAGATTCAGTTGCAAATGATGATCTATTCAATGTACGAATGTCATTATGATCAAATCTAGATCTTTATTTATTATAAAACGAAGAGTGTTTCTGTATTTGACTTAAAATAGAAGGAGACTTGCAATGGAAATGAAATTGAAACGTATACTGATGTTTAATAATTGGTATATTTTGATATCTAATCAGAGAAAACCTTTAGTATATCTATGGCGAGATGAAGAATATTTGACTTTTGGGTTACGGATTTCATCAGCAGACAAGAATCGTGTTTTTCAGTTATACTAATTTTGTTACGGAATTATGCAGATAGAATATTCAGAAAAAGGGTTAGGGACTGCAGTAAAAATCAAACATTTTCAGACAAGAAAGGGAACATCAGATGCGTTGGGACGCGTATTACGAATTTTTGCCTTTTTTAAAGCATTTTTCACATGTTCAAGCTAAATTAGTATATTGAAAATTTCCATATGTATATGATGATATAACGGTTTCTATACCGTGCATTATTTTTTGGCAACTAAACCGGAACCGCGGCTTCAGGTTATTTTTGAAATTGTCAAACCTTAGTTGCAGGGTAGAATAGGGTAGCAGTTAAAATTTTTTCTCAGTCATGGCATTGAATACGAAAAAAATTTGCACATCTCTGTTTTCAGAAAGGTGGAGGAGCATCAAAATATGCGGTGTTTACTTGGATGTCCTCGATGAATGATTTCTATGATTAGAAAAAACTGTTTTTTTGTTTTATGAAGTTTATTTTATTAAGATTAGATACGGATTTATTAAAAAATATATTAGATCGACGAAACTATTCATATAAGAGAATAAAAACAGAAATAGAAAAAATAAAAAAAAATGTTTTTGTTTCTCTTAAAAATGTGCAATATTGTCATCGTTTTTAAAAGCTTGTTTTAAATGTAATGGTAATTTTTTTAAAATAGCTCGTGCTAAATAATTTTCATTTGTATTTTTATCCGATTTTGAAATAAAAGAATTAAAATCTACAAAATGAAAATTATCATATACAACATTTGATTCAATTATTCCATGTCGAATTTGTTTCTTCTTTTCATTTCTTTTTTTAAATGCTAATTCACGAAGACGCTGTTCTTCATATGACATTCTTTGCCATGGTCCATCACCAACACCAATTACAAGTAGACAGGTATTTGATAAATTTGTTAATGTGTAAATCAATTCCATCAATGAATTATCTTCATGAGAAATTTTTAATTCATCAGTTAATATAACTAACATACTAAAATCTTTTCTACAGTGTATGCCATATGATATTAATTGTTGTATCAATGGTGTAAATCCAGTTGGACCACCTAATACAACATTTTTTGTTTTTTCTAAATAACTAAAAACAAAATTGATAATAAACTCAATAGATAAAAACAAAAAAAAATATTAATAAAATTTACGCATCAAGAACACTTTGATAATTATTAAATTCTTCATGTCCACCATCAATTGGAAAAAAAGAATAATCTTTTGTAGTTTCATCACCAAAACCAAAACAACAATATTCAACTTTTGAAGGAAATATATCTTCAAATATAATACCTAATTCACTAATAGCCTAAATTAAAACAATAACAAAAGAAAAAATAAAACTTTTATAATAAAAAATTTATCTTCATTGTACTTTTTGATATGGATTATAAATTTTATTTGAATTTGTTTTGTGTAATAATTGTCCATTAAATGTTTTACGACCTTGCCATTCATTACTAGCTGAAAAATCAATGCCAAATATAATACGAACACAATTAAAATGAAAATTTGTACGAAGTTCTGTTTTTATTTCATTAAATGATCTAATAGAAATTTCAAAAACAAATTTCATTTGTTTTTGTTAATTTTTATCTTTTCATACTTTGTCGTTGATATTGGTATGGGTTTAAATTGTATACTTTCAAGATTTTGAAGAAAATCTAATTCAGCTATTTGTTTTCGAGTATTATTTTTATAATACTCGTATAAAAGAATATAAACGAAGAAGGCTACTAAAAAGTAAACTAAAGGAAATAACATTTGTTGATAATTGATGGTAGCCAACCGTAAACGCGTTTGTCGTATTGAAATAGTCAAAACCATTCGACGTATTCTATCATCTATATTTGTAACCTAACCAACCGTGACGATAATAATTTTTTTTTCGGTTTGACTAACAGAACTAAATAGAATGTTACTTTAAAAAATATTTTTGATTGCTATTGAAAATTGAATGTAACCACAACAGAAAAACTGTCTATAAAGAGTGTCACACACATTTTCCCACGTAATTTCACTTTGGCTTCGACTTTATTAAGTGATGTTTTCTGTTTTTGTATGATAGATGAATATACAGTGTATATTTCTATAGATAAATTTTAAAAATATTGTTTATAGCTGTCAACATTAACAAAAACTTAGCCTTTCTATCTGTTTCTGAGCATACATTGCTTTAATCACTTCGATTTATTGAATTATTCCGATCTCGGATGATCGTTTTATGGAAAAAGTTTATTCTATTATGTCTTAATGAAGAAAGCAGTCGATTGGTATCAAGTCAAAACTCAAAGCAATCAGAACAGAAACTTTTCATAAATTTTTCAGCTGATTAAGTCCAATCAGAGTGTAGGTTTGTTTTCTCCACTTAGATAGAGATCTGGATATGGAAAAGATGATTCCGATCCCGACGAGACCAGAGCCAACATTTTTTTGATTGGAAACGATATTTTATTTAAGGTCGTGTAAACCTTACGTCAAATGTCATATTGTTACGGCTCCTGTATTCTAAAATTTTATGCCAAAATTAGTGAGTAACGATCACTTTAGTACTTGCTATTGCAGTCATGATAGTAAAATGAGCGCTTTCTTTTTTCATAAAAAATAGAGTTGTCTAACATATAAACGTGCAGAACAGGTGAAGTATGAGTAGATTTTAAAAATAATGAATCTCCCAGCAGGAAGATATTAGAAGTCATGGATGATGCTGCAAGCTTATTAACACTGCTAGAAAATGATATTGCATTTTTCATTAGTACATGTATTATTAAACGCGACGATAGAGCATAAAATTTCTTCTGCCTAGAACTAGGTCCAAGTCAAAATAATTGCTATTCAACGTCGTATAGATAAGCTTGATAAACGAGGTTATTATGGTTCTATAAATGTAATGGAATATTTGCGTAGTTTGTCATTGACAATGCTCTAAAACGAAAAAAATGACACTACTATTCTTGTCTTTTCTTATCTGTTTATACGTGACCTATGTTACAATGTATAATGCTAAAAACGAAAAATGCCATATTAGTTGAAATTTTCGATCTTGTCCCTTTCGACATTCGGTACAGCATACCGATTGGAAGACTTTTTCCACAAATTGACCTATTTAGCAGGCGAGATGAGCCCGTATTAAAAACTTTTCGTGCACCCTATGTAACATATTTTATAACTAGAAGTGTTTCGAAGTCACCAATATTAGAAGAAAGAAGGCAACTACTGAGAATGTAGGATTCACAACCTTGAAAGTTGATCTTCGTTGCAAAGGTTGATAAGTAAAAACAAAGAAAATCGTTCAGTTTCTCTTTAGAAAAACAAAAATTTGCCAAGGTTGAAAGCAACCGCCATCTCAGAGGCGTAGTCAGAAATTTTCTATGGTAGGTACACAACAGTAGTAAAATAATTTTTTGCTTCGTGAGAAGGTTTTGTTATACGCACTCTCCACCTTCAGGTTTTTTTTGAGCCAAGGCGAAAGTGCACAGACAACATCTGTCCTCTCCACACTCCGAACATTCCTGGCTTATTTTAAGTTAAAAATAACATGTATCTTAAATCTTTGTTTTATTTCAAGTTTGCACTATTAATGAATGTAAAGTAAACAGTGTTTCAGAATTAACATATATATAAAGCAATAGTTGTTCAGTAAATAATCTTTGTTTAAGTCAAAAAATTAGTATTCTACGATCAAATTACTATCTTTTCTTGCCACTTGATTTTTAACAAGATTATAAGAACATAAAGTCAACAGACAAATAACTCGTTAAAACATCTAAAATGTCATATTTTATTTAATATAACAATAGATAAACTCTCATTCATCATTACTTGAAATATACGTTATCATTTTGACAAGGCAATATTCGTCCTTCGCACATATTTACCATCTATTTCTCAGGCGAATAATCAAGTCAAGTGTTATTTGCATATGATCATCTATGACATATAAAAATTTTTTTTACACGCATATAAATCTTCTTATCATTGATTACTCAATCTTGAAAAAATCTTTTTCTTTCACACGGTCGTCATAGTCAATGTATATTTCTTTTGTCAGAAAAAAAAAACAATTCGCGCCGGAAAAACAGACACCGATCGAAAACAATAATAGAGAAAAAAAAAAGACACGTTAGACAAAACAAAAAGCTCAAATCTACAATGTTAAAAATCTGATGTACACAAGCATAATCTATATACATGAAAGTAACAGTGATATTTATCTATATATACAAGAACTGAAGAAAAAAAAAATAAATAAATAAAAAGAAGCATGACACATAACAATGTTTTGCTTGTTCCTCTATTGTCCCGATAATAATACTAATTTAAACAAAAAAAAAAAAACAAAAACAAAAATCGACGGTTGTTTATATGGAAAGATGATGGGACAAATAGGGAGAAAAACAAAACAATGTACGTAGCTGATTTATATATTTTTTCCAAAACTATTAACATCACTGTTTGTTGCACGCGGGTCTAATTGTATATTCTTGATTTATTTATTTTTTTAAATATTCTGAATCATCGATATTTTCATCATCCCAACCATTATCTTTAATCATATGTACAAGTTCAATTATATATTTTCCTTCTTTATATTTTTGACTTGATTCAAAAGCATGTTCCTTGAACAAAAATATAATAATAAGTTTTTTTTTTTTATTATAAATATAAAGAAAGAAAAAGCTAAAAGATATTTACATATTTCCAGCCAAGTAATGTTTTGCAGCAATCACAATATATATCAGCTACTTCATGAAGACCCGTAAGCAATACTCGTTCTTCAGCTGCACTTGTATTTACATTAACACTTGAAAAGAAAAGACCAAAATAGAAAAAAAGAATTTCAAATATTTAAAAAAAATTACATACACCGAATTGAATAGATACGCTCGCCCTTGACTACCTTGAAATGACTAAAAAGAAAACAAAATAATAATATCAGAAAATTTAGTTTATTTTTTTTTTTTGTATTTATACTTTAGAAATCAGTTCATCATGACTTGCTAATTGAGCCCGACAATGAAGACATGAATAAATTCGATGGGTTTTAGTTGGCAAATAAAATTGAAATAATTTGCCCAATGTTTTCGAACCGCCATGATGATTTTTTTTCACCATCTTTCGGCGAATCTATATCAGACAATAGACAAATTAAAATAAAATAAAAATAAAAATAAAAATTTCATTATTTTATCTATGGTTAAAAACTCACAGAAGAGAAGAAAAAAGAGACATGACAATCTATGAACATGATCATCATAAAAGAGAAAGACGAAGAAGACACGAAGACCATGTGTTTTTTTTCCTCTATTAATTCATTCTTCTATATAGTTACATACTGTTCGTCTTGACTTGTATTTTCTTCATTCTGCTTTATAGAACAATGACATAGTCTATCAAGAAAAGAAGTTGAATACTCTAAGGGAATATGAATAACTTGTGATTGATTAAAAGAATAGACAACCATGAAAAATAAATATATATTTATACAAGGCTACTCTATATCCCTTTCTTCCTGTATTAGTCTTTTTTTACTAATTCCTCAACCTTATCATGTACATATAAATCTTATCGATTATATTTTTCTTTTGACTTCGTTATTTTTTTCACACATTTTTATATTCACTCATGAAAAGTATCATCAACAGTTGAAGACAAGACACAACCACTTATCTATCTGTCTACTCTCTCTCCTCCTCCAAATCATTATAATAAACAACTTGAATTTAATGACCCTTATATATATGTCACAACTGTAAAGATCTAATCGATCACTGAACTCTCATATAAGCTAAAGAAAATGATTAGCAATAAAACTTGATTGAGCGTATCCAATTTGGTCTCTTTCTTTTTTCTATTAACTACTATTCCTGATCTAGATTTGTACTTCTTGCGTAATCGAACAAATACAGATGTATGTTCATCAGTATGGCGCATGCAAAAATTATTATAAATATATTATATATATATATATATATGTATTTGTTGTGTCTCCTTACCCTTCTTTAATCCGATAATGATGAGCAGCTTGCATAACTCTTCTAGTAAATTTGACAATGTAATTAAAAAAAAACTTTATAAAGGTTGCATCTTCATGTTTGTTAATCACTTGTTCATCAGCTCATTGAAGGACAATGCCGTCTAGCAATGGTGATTCTACACATGCACGACATTTACTCAAACTTTTGATAAGACAATACAACAAAACTGAATAAGAATAACTCGATCGACTAGTCAAGCAGGGGGCTGAATACACAAACGTATCACTGACGCGACAGAGATATTTATCTATTCTTTCTTCTCAATAAAACATTATCAACACTCTTGTCAAAGATTAAACAAATGAATCTATATAATTAAACGTAGATGTGTGAAAATAACTTACAATAGATAGAAATGTCCAGCAGCTTGCCACGCCGATTGTTAAAAATGAAAACTTTAATTAACACACGAAAAAAAACTTCGTTGCGATAACGAACACAATCCTAGAAAAGACAAATTCAAGGATGTATACAGATAATGTTTTAATAAAAATTAAATATTTGTATTAAGTCTTTTATATGAATGTACACATATATATATTACATCATAAATCAATGATAATTCAAATGATATATATTTGACGATGCAAGTAGTACTATATTCTTTTTCTTTTCCTCTTCTATACCTTCTCCGGAGACAATATGACCGCAACCGACAGACAAGCAAATTAATGGACATGAGGCGAGACAAACCTTGATGTAGTTGCAATATAAGCCTAGTTTTATTTTTCCGCTATAGTTTCGTCTAGGGTAGTTTTTCTTCTTCTTCGTACGTAAAACACTAACAAC